ATAATACTAAAAATAGTTTAAAAAAAAAAAAAATACCACGTGCGTAGCACGTGCATCTTCCTAGTCCATTATCATCTACCAGTTAATTGCCAGACACCAAACACCACCATAAGAGCTATAGGACTCACCACTCATTTTTTCAATGTGTCACATCTAAGTTACAGTTTTACCATGATACAACACAGCTATAATATATATAATATTCGCTTCTCTTACTTTCTGAATCACCACCAAATGACACATCACTCCTACCAAGGGCACAATTCCATCATTATATTCTATTGGATATTCCATAATCAATCACTATATTCATTCATATTCCCTCAACTAAGTTTCAAATCCATTTTATTCCAAAAATGAAATGAAATTCATAACACTAACTATTCATCAGTAGCAACCTCATTACCTGTACAGTAGGGCATCAATTTGATTATCACAACAAACGCAACATGTTCCCTTTCTTACATGTCCCCATTTAGACCCATCCTCAGACGTCCCAGCAATAATGCCTGCATAATTATAACCTAAATCAAAGATCAAGATTGGATCACAGTAGTTCAAAAAACAAACAACAGAAGCCTAAAACAGCCAAAAAGCCCACAGGGTAGATAGTATTTTTACTTGTATCCACGAAAACTCAAAGATAACTACTACGAACAGAGAATGGGACACACCTTCTCCATCAGATGATCTATTAAGAGCAGCTGAAACTTCCTGTCTAACAGAGCGCTGGAGTTCAAGCTGCATGTCCATGCAAGCCTCTAACATCCTCTGCATGTGACTCATACCTTGCTGAAGCTTTACAACATCAGCCCTTAGATCATTCATCGTCTCCCACTCCTGCTCAGTATCACCAATTATGCATTTAATTACCGAGTAACTTACTTTGTCTCTTGAGGAAAAAATTTGGTAAAGACCAATTTTAGCTATACGACTCTAGATATCCTTAGCCATGCTGAGTAGAAATATAAGTTGTGTGGGACTGAACCAGTGATGACAGCCCCACAGATGGAAGCGACATAATTTAGCAGAATGTGCAACATTAACAAGACTGTCATACCAACAAGCCCAAATAACTGGACTTTTTGATAAAATATATATAGAAGAACTAATACAACACGCGGAGCCTATAAAAAAGGGATAACTACAGAAACTACCCATGATTTTTGAAGTACTTACAAAAAAGTCCCAGAAAGTTCCAAAATTATGATTACTCTACATTCTTTTTGGCATACAACAAGAGAAATAAGCATGGCACGTTTTCTGCACCTTTAAACATGACCGGGTCCTTCAGTAAATACCCAAAACTGTAATGGTCAAACCTTTATTTATTCTCAATCCCATGATTGGTATAACTTATAGGGTTTTCTCCTATAGCCTACGTGTCCAACAGATACAAGTCGTAAGGCTTTTAGGCATAAGCTGAGCCGAAAGCTTTCTTTGTCTTTTGATGTGACAGTAAGAGTCAGCTTGTATTAAGAGTTAGGAATGATCACTCCTTACTTGGAGATACAATTTTCTCAAACAAATCCGATCAAAACCCAATTTTATCAACATTATCAATATTTATCAATACAGTTAATAATATCAATCAATCATGCTCACACATCACATCAATTTTAATTCACTACTCACCCACTCACATATTTTTATCTACCCATCACTTCCAATCACCTCTCTACTACTTTTACATCAAATCAACTTGAATTATTTATTTTAAATATTATATTAATGCAAACTCAAATTCCACTTAAACCTAAACCAACCAATTTTTTATTATTTTTTTTAAATTAACTTTGGTTAACCGAAAAATTCAATCAAACCAAATAAAAGAGCTTATATCCAAGCAACCCCTAAGAAATTGAAAAAAACTCATATACATGAGATTAACCATTTATTAGATAATGGGTTTATCCATTCCCATGTTTAGGGGAAAGATATATGTTTCTCAAACATTTGAACAAACAACTAACAATGAGCAGTTAATAAATAAAATATAATACAATCATGACTAAATTATATTCTATTTGATTATAAAAAATAAATTTCAAATAAATAATTGAAACATTATATTTTAGATTCTTATTTGTATTCTGGTTAGAAAAATAAAATATTTTTATAAAATCGAAAACCTATGAAAAAAAAATATATGGATTAATAATTAAAAATATTTAAAAAATAATTTTCAAATAAATAGTTGAAACATTATATTTTAGATTCTTATTCGTATTTTGCTTAGAAAAATAAAATAATATTATAAATAAAAAACCTGTGCAAAAATGTATGGATAAATAAATAAGAAAATGTTTATAATTTTTTGTATCTTTTTATATATTAATATTTTCTATATTTACTCATAAAAAGAAATCACTTATAAATAATAATAATAATAATAATAATAATAATAACAATAAAAATAATAATAAATATTATATATATTCCCATATGCTTATATAAGATTTACGCAATGATATATTTAATAATAGTATAGCTTTTTGAAAGATATAAAAATAACATTCACATATATAAGACTACAAATAAAAATATTGAATTTAAGTTTTTATAATATATATGGGATCAATCATTTCTTATATAATGGATTTTTATCCATTCCCATGTATATAGGGAAAGGATGTATTTTTTCAAAAAAAATTAAAACAAACAACTAACAAATGAGCAGTAAAAAAATAAAATACAATACAATCATTATAGAATCATTATATTTTAGTTTCTTATTCGTATTTTTCTTAGTAAAATAAAATATTTTTACAAAAATAAAAACCTATGCAAAAAAATGTATCGACAAAAATTAAGAAAATGTTTGTAATTTTTTTGTTTTATTTAGCATAAGAGGAAATCACTTATAGATGACGACGATGATGATGACGATGATGATGACGATGATGATGACGACGATGATGACGATGATGATGACGACGATAATGACGATGACGACGATGATGACGACGATGACGATGACGATAATAATAATAATAATAATAATAATAATAATAAGAACAACAACAACAACAACAATAATAATAATTATATACATTCAAATATGCTTATATAAGATTTAAGCAACGAGATATTTATATTAAAAATAAAAGATATAAATACAATATATACAAATTAATTAAATCAGGTGAGTATCACAATAGAAAACATACTGTAATTATAGTATAGCTTTTTGAAAGCTATAAAAATAATATTAACATATGAAAGACAATAGTACTAAAAAAAATATTGAATTTATATTGTTTATAATATAATGATAATGAGATGGCAATATTACTCCATTCAAATCTCAGTCCTTTACATTTTCGACAGTATTTTAAAAGTCGCTAGACGCCCGCTAGGCGCTCGACCAACGGCTAGCGCCTAAAGCGCCTAGGCGGGGCCTAAGCGGCGCCTAGTCGGGGCCTAGGCGGCGCCTAGTCGGGCCTAGAAATCAATATTAAATACCTTATTTTTTATTTATTTTAACTACGTACAAAATAAAATTATCTCAACGTATAATAAATCGACACACCTAAGTCCAAATAATAATATTAATATATTTTAATGAAAACATGGGAACAAAATAATGTAATTAATATATATAAAAAAAAAAAAAAA